CGCCAGCTCGCTCACTCTTGCGCTCTTTGCAGCTTCTCTGCTGTCGCTGTTCTGAGACCAAGTCCAGGTCCAGCTAAACATTGAGCAGGAGCTGAGCTGCAGGATCATGTTTCAAACTTTGCTTCAAAAAGCTGTGCACTGCAAAACGTGCTCATTGCAGCCATTAATCCTGACTTCATCATTTTGATTAAAAAAAAAACAGCACAAATTGTTTTATTCATTTTTGTTTTGTAGGTCAGTGTTTTATAAACACTCCTGTCTTAAAATGTTGTTGATCAATTTGAATTTATTATTATTTATTGATTGTATTTAATTTGATTGTTCAGTATCAAATGATCAAAAATGTTTACAGTTTAAATAAGGATATATATTTTTTTAATTTCAGGCAAATTGATGCACTTTAAGTCTTTTCTGTTACAGACTATAAAACAATGTTAATAATCTTTGTTGTAAGTTGATCTATATTTATTTTTTATTTTTTAATGTTAATAAGAGCACAATGTTATGCAGATGTGTACTTATAACAATTTTTTAGACAAATTATACTATTTACAGTTGCGGCGGAGAGTTGGAGGGGCGGGGTGCGAAATGTTTACTTCTTCCTGGGGGGGGGGGGGGGTAACAGAAAATAATTGAGAAGCACTGGTGTAACTTGTTTCCAACACTGACAGTTTTGGGTGGAGCATGTGGGCAGCATGGCATGGAGAAGTAAGACTTAACGCCGTGGCCATACATTTGGCTCTTAATTCCACAGATTTGAGCTGAGGTTCACCAAAATCAATATGATCGATCATTATTCACCCCTTGAACAGGAATCCATGATAAGTGGCCTATAGCCTCCACAGCGCCCCCTAGAATATTTTCAAACTTGCAAGACCAAATGGTCAAATTATGACATCACTTAAGCCACGCCCACTGAGAACAGGAAGTGCAAAGTTTTATGTTGAAAGGTCCCTATCTGACCCCTGTGACCTAATCAACATGATAGTGTGTCCAGTCACTGAAGACATGTTGGTGTAACTTGATTTCCAACACGGACAGTTTTCGGTGGAGGATGTGGGCGTCGCGGAGTGGTGAAGACAAACGTAGTGCCGTCGCCATGCGTTTGGCTCTAAATTCCACAGATTTGAGCCCAGGTGCACCAAAATCACTATAATCAATCCTTATCCACCCCCGAAGCCCCGCCCACTCAGAGAAGAAACAAAAAGGATTATTGGGTGACTCTTCCAGCTTCTCCCTGTGTATGATATAAGATTTAAACCGTATTTGCTAACTATTCGTAACCACACATGACATGTCGAAAAGCATAAAGGAAGTCCAGGCCAAACATTCACCACAAAACAGGAAGTGATAATAACTCCTGTCTGGAAGGTCGGACTTCGGCCAAACTTGTAAGACTTGCAGCTGGACAAGTACTGACATGGACGGAAGGCGATGTCGAAGATTCTGCAAATGCTGCCCCTGGTGAACGCACACGAGATCGGCATAAGAGCGTTCATGATGGTGCATGGGTGAAGTAGCTGGAGTTCCCGTGGTTGCAATATGGCTGAAGCAGCGCTTGGCTGCGAGGGCCTTCAACACTGCTTGCAGCATTACTTCTGCTTTGTGTTTAGTCGTTTTGTGACAAATAGTATATATTTTTTAGTATTTCTCGAGTCCAGTCTGCATTCTTGGGTCCCACCTCCTGCTGCCATGACAATTCAATTCAGTACAATTCAGTTTATCAACGGGATGCACTCAAAAATACTAGCTTTTTAATTTTTAAAGTGTCCTTTTTGTGCATGGATGTAAACAGGTACCTCTCTAATATTTAATCTTGCTTAAATATACTAAAACTACCTTATTGCATATTTATTAACCACTTTAACTTTACACCACTTTGCAAAAACCTATATTGTTATATTTATTATTTACATACTTCTTCCTGTGCATGCATGGGTTTTCTCCAGTTTCCTCCCGTGGACCAGAAGCATGCATGCTAGGTTTATTATTAATTGTCATTAGGTGTGAATGAGAGTGTGACCAGTTGTCTTATTTTGTCTTTGTGCCCCTGTGATTGACTTGCAACTCACTCAGGGTGTATCCATCATCTTGCACTGTGAGATAAACACCAACTCCCCCCACAATCTGGAAAGGAGAAAATGGATGGATGGTCGGCTGTGGCTGAGTGGTTAGAGCAGTCGTCCTCCAATGGGAGAGTTGGGGGTTTGAATCCACCAGCAGTCACATGTGTAGTATGTCATATAGGGATATATATTCATACTTTTTCACGAGTTC